GGGGGGGAAGGGGGGGAGGTGAAGGGAGTATTTAGAGATCCATCCTCAAAATTGCCAAAGATGGCGCATTCTGAGGTCACTGTCAACACCTGCAAAGTCACTTTGTGAAAACGCAGAAGACTTCAGAGACTTCAAAGCATGGGTATTTTGCATGCCATAACTTAAATCTGAAATTTGTATTTAATAACTTTAGCACACAGCCAATAGGTTGTTTTAGCACCTCAAATAAAATCTAGCCATTTAAGGAAAAACAGTGTTCCTAGAAGTGGAATCCCAGTTTCGTCCTACTAAACCAAACGGTAATTGGATAGCTGAGGAATTCAAGTCAGAATGCTCAAATTCACCAAGGTAAAGCTGTTTTAACAATGATATTAAATAAATTAATGAATTGGAAAATCAGCCTCTCACTTCACCTTTTCTCCCGATTAACACAGCTATACATACCACTATTTGACATTTGAAAAAGATTGTTCTTCTCAAACTTCTTGAAAACGCTTCCTTTTATTTCAACAAACTGTAATTTTAAAAAAAAGTTAGTTATTTTTCATTAATAAAAACCTGACAAACAAATCAGACAATCAAATGATATGTATGTAGATATATGACAAACAAAGATAAAGGATGCTGGAAAAAATTAGGGTAGCTATTTAATAAAGCTACATACTTACATTATTGGACATCATGATGGTAAGCAGTGATTTATTGTGGGAGTTGAAGGCCACATTAAGGGTTGTTGCTTGCACCATTATAAGAATAGCATGCAGGACTAGATACTAGGGTTAAGGAAGCATATTTGGGAACAACTGTTCTGCACAACAGAACTGAACAGCACCAAAACTCAAATTTCCTATTCTGTTTCCAAAGTTTAACAAAAATGTTTCTTCTCCCTGTCAACTATATTTACAGCAGAACAGTACTTAAACCTATGTAACGTACCCATAGTGCTTTATAGCATGCTGTTAATTTTTCTTGTTCTCAAAGAGCCCAATAACATTAGTTAGGACAAACAGCAATACAATCTGAAGGTAAAAAAACAAAACAATCTGAGATAAAGATTCAGAATTAGCCTGAAGATTTCAGAGAAAGCAGGGGAAACTACAAGAATTCTAAATTCATCACCACATCTATCGAACTATGTGCCTCTTTACACATCATTTTCACTAGAGCACTATAAGGTGACTTCACACTAAGTTCATCTGCACCCTGAACATGCATGAGTCTATGCATTCATTTCAAGAAAATTTATTCAAGCTAGCTGCTCATAGCATTCCACCAAGTAACAAAATTCCACTGTCTTCAAGACATTGTGACCCAAAATACTCAAACACAAATCAGAAATCAGTTTCTATGAACTATCCAATTAATGTTTTTCATTTTACTACACATTAAGTATTAAAAAAGCTGTTTGCTACTGCAGTGGTATACCATTATGAAGGGTTTTGTTTAAAGCAGGTTAAAGGGTTTTTTCATTAATTTTAAAAACCTGTAGTACTGTCAAACTTACTTTGAAAGTAAATTAACACCGATTTAGGACTACTAGAATTCTTCAAATATATTAAAATAAAATAATGCAGAGCAATTACTGTGTAATCAGATTTAGAAAATGTGGCAGTTTATTGATGAAAAAGGATACAGACATATAGCACTGCCATGAAGAAGTGAGGAATCACACCTATGTGAGCTCTTTTTCTTTCCTTCGGCTCTGTAGCTGTCCAATAAAGAGCATCCAAAATATCTTGTCCAAATGAAGAAAACAGACGATCAGCCACCTAAACAAGAAGAACTTTTTACTGTCTTAAAGCAATAGTTTTCTCTTTGACACCTGAATATGCCACTGTAAGTACAGCTCAACCTAAAAGAAGTTTCCATTATTTATCACTTTCCATCTGTTGTTCATCCCATTTCCACTCTGGATTTCACAGTGATAACTGTTCATTTTGCATACTCAGCAGCTTGCCTCCCCTCTCCAATTCGCTATTCCCTTTTCAACAGTATTTACAATGAATAACCGTGTATGTTATCTTAGATGCTTCCTTGAAAGACATTCAAGTACAGTTCAAACTTCAGCCTTTGATAAAGCAGTATCTATGTTGCATCAAACTACCTTAATGTTTTTCACTGTCCCTCTGGGTTTGATAGGGGAAAAGAATAATGAAAAGTGAAATTCAAACGTGTGATAGGGAACAAGATCAGCCTACTGGCACTAAAATAATCAAAATTATTTGGCTGTACTGTTTCCTTACATCTTGGTATGAAGTACCTACTCAATACAAATCTCTGCATAAAGCAGAATTCAAAAACAGAAGTACTGTAACACAACAGCAAGTGATCAAGAGGGACTAGACAGAAATTCTGCTAAAAAGGGAAAATTAGCTTGAAAAAACTACAAACATCTGAAATGCAACCCAAAGAATATCTGCACAAGCAGGAAAAAACCTAGCAGTAATTCTAAAGATAGGAAAAACATGGACAGCATCTGAGCTCATAATTCAATACCACAGCAAGAAAGGTCACATGGAGTTCCACCAGCTCTCAACACTCCATCATCAGGAAGCATGTAAAACTGAGAATCATTATAAGGAAAGACTTTTTTCTGCCTATCCACTATAGTTCAGTAATTTTAAGACTAGGCTGCACAGAACAACCAAAATAGCACTTGAAAAATTAAATCAGGCACCACAAGGCAAATGTCTGGCTAAGAAAAAAATGAGATCTTTCATTGCTTACTAACTCAACCAAACAGAAATAGTTAAATATGAAAAACTGATTTATCTCTGCCTAATAAAGACAACTGATATTTCCTCTTACTGTCTTTCTGTCAGACAACATGTAGCAACACAGAACTAGGTGGATGATGTATCTGCAGATATTGAACCATACCTATTAACTAGAAAATGAGTTCTTGGGAAAACCACCTAGATTGGGATCATTTCCTGACTCTGTTAATAAAGTGATCTAACGGTAAAGATACTGAAGGGAGAGATATCATATATTTTAACTTAATCAAGCCAACAGTTATCAGAGTTTCCTAAAATATGAAGGCTGAATTAAAACAAATTTTTACTGGACGCCTCCAGTAAACTATACCAAATACTATTTTCTTTAGGCATCACCTATGAAATAAAATGAACAAAACCATGAGCTGATGTATTATCACAAATCTGAAGTTCAAAAACCCATCAGCTTGAGATATTTACAGTGGTATTGTTTTCGGCTTTTAAATTTTGTGAATTAAGGTGGTTTGCATTATTTGGTTCCTGCTCATTGTGATGACCCATTGAATACTTACACCTGGTGCAGTAACACCAACTACAGAATGCTTAGAGCTCGGTAAGTTTTTGTTCACAATATTGTGAGGGTTTTAATTGAGAAAATCGTTCCTTTGCTTTTGTTTTTATTTAAGCAGTCCTTGTTTCTTAGCTGATAGGGTAGAAAATATTAAAACCCACCACACAATATTGTTGCTTGCTTTTCCAAAAATGACTTACCTAAACCCTACATGCCGGCTCCAGGCTCCAGCAGAATTCCATGGTGAGTTCTGTCACCAGCGTAACGCACACTGGGGCTTCACAAGGAGCAGGAGCCGGTGGGTCTGAATCTAAAAAAGAAAAGTGTCATTTAAGCCAGATGTGCTGAATGCTCCCCTTAGGCTATCTGGAGCATTCAGCACATAATTTGAAGATTTTGCATTCCTTGTATATGTCCAGGACAACATTCCCTGGACTTGCCAACAGCCGAAAACATTAGGACATTGTAAACATCTCTGCTGCTCAGTGATTTAACTAAATTAAAAAGATCTTCCTATTTTGAAAATATGTGAAAATGTAAAGTTTACTACTTAAAGTGTATTTAATAGTTCCTTAGAAACCATTGCCTACATTACTAGCAAAGACTTACAACAAAATTCCCCGAAGTAGTAGTCTCAGCAAGCCAATACTCAAACTGTTGAAACCTGATTACCAAGCAGGTTTTTCACTGGGATCCCACGACATTTTCTGCCAATACTGTGGCTGCGACCTACCATGGTAAAAAAGTCCCTTAAAAACATGCTCTCTGCTTGGCATGTTGGGTTTCATGAGACACCATGGAAATTAAACACCATTTCCAACTTCAAAGTCTCATGTAATTTTTCTAACAACTATAAATGGTAACAGACTTCCTTCTTTCAAAAAAAAAATAAATTAAAAAATGGAATGGTGAATGACTTCCAATTAACAGCAAACACTGCAGCTGCTGCTCTTCAAATTAGGTGGTAAGCACATAGTGCTGTACTTTCTCAGCTTTAAGAGAAGTGACTTAATTAGTCTTGAAATAAAGAGAAATTACTATTTTGAGTAAATGGATTTATTTAGTAAGTGATAATATCTCACAGATTATGGAACTATATATGGATGAATACTTCTCAATACAATCAAAATCCACATAGTAACTCAGTGCCAATTTAGTATTTGTACATGATTTTCAGCAGACCTGAAATCAAAGGAAACAAAACCCTATGAATAAACAACTGAGGCGGCTTGTATGATATTTATTTCACTTAGGATAATGAAGTATGGTCTTTAAGCAATATTTTCATATTTTATGAGGAAAGAACATATGTCTTTAGCTGAATTATTCAGATGTTGGACAGTGCAGCCCCATTTTAGCCATCTAAGGTAAAACAGATGTTCAAACAACATTAATTAATATATTATTCAGAGATCCCAGAATCCTAGTAGAGTAACTTCTGTGTACAAAGCTCTGATTGAGTCCTTTTGAGAGGTTGTATTCCTAGCATCCTGTATTTGCAGGACGGAGATAAGATTGTAGCTATGAAAACACTGTTAACTTTGTGAATCACTGATCATGGAAGCGCAATTAAAAATCTCATTCTTTACATCAGTAACAAAACAAACCTTTTTTCCATAGAATTTCTTTTTATCTTATCTCCCAAACCAGAACTACCTTTTCTTGTTTCACTATATTCATGTAACTTATTGTTTATGTACTCAGACTTTTGTCTGCTAGCCAGGACTGAGATAGATTAAGCAGTTACATGTGTCCTTGCATACAATGAAAGCTATACTTCTATAATGAAGAACTAAAAAACAAATTCCATGTCTTCTACCATCTTCTTTCTCTGCTCTCTCTCTCAGGATCTTACCAGTATTTCAAACCAACAGTTTCTACTTTCCTCATTAAGTTCAAAACCTCATTCATTCCACATCTTGCATTTCAGTTTAAGGCATTTCTTCATCCATTTCCAGTTCTCAATTTTAATTCAACTAAATTGATTAACAATCTCCAGGAACCAGGCAACAAAAAACAATATCTACAAAGCTTATTTTTCACTAGTTTGTCTGTGTCACTGCATCTAGGCTTATTCTCAAGGGCACGCACACATTTGTGAGACTACAAGATGCGCCACATTCCACGTACAAATACCATAATACAGCAATATTTTAGGTAGTCTCAAAAAAGCATGCTTCATATTCTGATGCCAACATTCTTACCTCAAGCATGTTATAGATGATGTAGAGCTTTATGACAGACTGTCCCCTTATCAGATGATACATCATAGAGTAGTCAACATAGTGCATCATGAAGTAGCAGATGACCAATATAACTCCTTTGAGAATGTCACATACCTGAGCAGGTTGTAGCAAACGTCTATCACTGAAATACAAAGGGCAAATATTCCACTAAATGTCATATACCCACAAAATACAAATGTTACCAAGTCAACAGGAACTTAGAGAAGCTGTTAATAAAGTCTATACTTTAAATGTAGTTTATTACTGCCCTTTCCTCTGCCCCTCACTCCCAACACATAAGAAACACCACCATCACGATACACATTTATAAATCACATTCCTGAACAGGATCACATTCTCTTATCTGCCACATCCATTTAGTTAAAATACTGCATTAGTTCGGTAAAAGCTCCTGCTTTTTAAGAACCTTTCCCATGCATGCCCTTTGGGTTTTAATTTACCTTCCCTCTTCCAGACAATTCGACTTACCATTTTTACTTCCTCAGTTACAGAAATTGTATTTGCTATAACCAAAACAAAAATAAATGAAGCAGTCATCTTCAATTTCAGTCCAATGAATCAGATTCTTAGGAACAGGTTTTAAACACAGTTCCCTATGTTCTTCCAGCTCTAAGCTCTGCAGCACTATGCAAATAATTTGACATCAGAGCTTCAGGTTGACCTTGAACCAATGCAGAAGTTTTCTATCTGCGGTCTCACAAATAACCCAGAAGACTAAATGAATCATTAAGCGATTTCATCCTATAAACTACAGGAAGAAAATAACTTTACCTCAGTTGCCACAATAGCTGCCATAATAGCTGCCATAAGCATAATGACATTGTAAGGCAGTATTTACTTGCCTATTTACTTAGTTTAGCATAATAGGATGCAAAGCATTTTAAAAGCCTTCAAGTGAAATCAAAAGGTTATTTGATATTTAATTCTCAAAAAACAGAGAAATAACTTTGATTACATGTATTTATTTTTAATATACACTGAAAGGCTTTTTGCAAAAGTTGACGTTTCATGAAAGTCAGAATCAATTAGCAGAACACAAGTTACGAATTTTCATTGTCTATATTCTTAAATCACTAGTTTATCCAGAGATTAAAAAATTTTCCAATAAACTGATAACACATTTAAAAAAACTCAAAAATTAGAGTAAGCTGATAAAAATTCATGCTACTTTTAAAAAAGTCTGAACAGTTAGTTACTTATGACTTCTGGAAGTTAAGATATTCTACATACCCTCCAATCAAGTAAAAAAATCCCAGTTACCCGACTCATTCTATTTAAATACAGTATCAGAGCCAGGGTGTTATGCTTTGGGCTTTTTTGTCTTCCATTCAAAAGAAAAAAAGCCCTGAAGACAGCATTCACGCACTGTCACACTCACTGAATTCAGTGTCATTCCACAATGGGCAAACAGATCATGCTCATTCGAGGAACACGAGTGAGAAAGTTCCCAGAACTCTCAGATTTACAGTATCACGCTTTGAACAGCATCTGAACACTTTGAGAGCAACTGCTCCTTTTATTATATACTTTTTACTGCATAATCTGTATTAAAATTATATTCCAAATAATAGAATTCAACCTGGTCCAGCACACTAGAACTGCTTAAAGTGGCTTTCTCACCCTAAGAGACATTCTTGCTCTCAGAAGTCATCCAGTAACAGCAACCATGCCACATTTTTATTTCAGACTAAGTCCTTGACAAAAAGCTTCACTGAATTTTTGCCCTCCTCCTCTCCCTGATTTGACTTTTAACTGAAAACATCAATTTAAAAACTTAAATAAAACTTGAAAGGGAAACTGCTGCTTAAAGAACCTATGACTCTGCCCTTGCATGACAAGCGCACAAAAATACACACCCTCTCCAACCCACAGAATTGTATTTTGACATTTCACTGCACTATTTAACTACATCTGACTTTAAACAATTAAACTTTTTAAAATATATTAGCATACACTGTAACATTTATAGGATTTAAGCAATTCCATAATTATGATTACCACTCACACACCAAGTAACACAGCATGTTCTTTTTTCTCCACCCTACTTGAATTTTGGAAGTGTACCCAGAGTCATTTCAGTACGAGTTCTGCACTCACTACTCACACTCCACAATGTATATTGATATAAAGTGGTAAAGATATTATTACTCCATTGCCAGGTCTTAGCATAAGAGAAAGAGAATCGAAAGTTGTCACTCAGAATATTAGCACCTAAATTCTTCCAGCCTTATCATCAGAGAAGTACTAAGTACCTGGTAGAGAAAACCTGGCTAGCAAAAGAGACACTCACTTCAGAAGTCTATGCTTTAAAAGTTAGGCAAGGTACCAATTTTTACAATGGGTTGAAATGCACTTGTAAGCAGAACCTGTTTATGAAGTTTCTGAAGCAGTCCAGAAAGATTCTCACAGGAAAATGCTTTGATGTCCATAAATCAATATGAACTGAAAATTATCATGTTAAAGGTTTTCTGGCTTACAAATAACACCAGAGATGGTCACTCATCAGTACAGACACAAGTTGTAGTTATTCTGTACCGTTAACTTTATCACTTTTCTGCTTGTGCTGATTCTGCGTGTATGACTACACCCACTTGACCAACTCAGGAGAAGCCGATGTAAAAGCACCTAGCAACAGGGGAATATAAACTCTAAGAACAGACTTCACAAAATTGAGAGCACAACTGCTCTTCTAACGGTGGTCTCAACACTGAAAACTAACTCAGGAGAATAATGCCATATGACGATGCATCCAAACCTACACACAGCAACTGGAAAGATGAAGGTATTTTGAAAGTTTGCTGTATACAGAACAAACTAAGTATCATTGCGATTCAATTTAAAGGCTGTGCAAGAGTCAGATCAGCTACACTTGATCACTGTGCTTTACAGGAATTAAGCTTTGGTAAAAGAGAATACATTCAAATAAAGTTTTTAGAGAATTTTACCTCTCAAAGTGACTTGAATTTAGTTTCTCAGTAGTTTGCGTATCTAGAAAAAGCTGCAGTAAACACTCCATTTTTTCTGATGTTTTAATTAAAAATACACTCTATTAGTGCTCTATTGAAAGTTGTGCAATAACTTCTTACGCTTCTCAGCCACGTGAGAAGCAGAATCAACAGTAATTCTGTGACATCTTCAAAACACATCTTTAAGAGAAGTTGCCAAAATATCCTCATAGTTTATTTACTCAGGCTGATGACAGAAGAACTTGTCAGTACAAGGGATTATCACAAAGGTTGAGAACAGAAAACTGCTTCTAAAATATATTCCAGTGTTCTTTCAGTGACACTAAAAGACCCCTTCATATTGACTAGGCAAATAATACATGATCTACAACTAACACAATTCTGATTGAGAGAGATTAACTACGACTACTACATAAATCCACAAAAGCACTTTTATTGCAACAGAATCCTTTTCTGCTCTGGCTAACACCGTTTACAAAAGGATTTTGAGGTGTGGCTCTGAATATAATATGGGATGGGGATAATTATTTCCTACAAAGACAAGGAAATCAAGCAAATGGATTAAGTCTAATGATTTGTCACCTTTTGGCAAATACACAGAATGAACTGCAAAGCCTGCAACTAGGAAATAATGTAGTCAGTGTTCAGAGAGAACCAAACATTGCAGTTTCAGTATATGACCAGGCTCGTATTGGTTCAATCTGTATTTATCATTAATCATTTCTATCCTTCACATTAAAACAGTTTAATACACATGAACACAGACAGGTTAATGTGATTTTATGCCTGCTATAAAAAGTCTTAGCCCACCCATTACACACATTACATTTTCTGCATCCATTTTTATCAATATATGTTTCTACTTATTGCCTTCAGTAACTACGCAGTGCCAACACTGGAAAGTACTTTCAGAACAGTGTTGAGCACTAAGTAATCAGACCTTGTGATTAGTATCATATACAAATTCATAATGCTGTATTCATCTGCACCATGAGTACTACAGAATCTCAGAAAAAAAAAGTCTGTGTTGGCCAAGTTATGACAACTACACAAAGGTCAAGAAACAAATAAGAAATACATAGGATACTGCTGATAATACTTCCAATGTTTCACTTAAAAGTAGGGAGAAAAGAGGTAAGAACTAGACAATACTGAGCTATTGTACAACTCTAGAAACCACTGAACAGAGATAGGAAGAGCAGAAACAGCTGGGCTCATTTCAAAAGACTTTCTATTTTTACAGTTGTGTATGACATGTGACAAAATACGGAGGGAAAGATTTCACATGAAAAGTAGTTACGGGTGTTTTTTTCTCATGAGTGAGAAAAGGAGAACAATAAATGAAGAGTATAACAACTATTTTATTTTATTTTATCATTCTGGTTAAAATAAAGCAAGCAGTAGAATCTTTCTACAGAAATCAGTTGATCTTTTCCTTCAAAGCTATCCCAGGCATACAGCGATGCTGCAGAAGTGAAATATTAACACTGTGGCAGCTTTAGTGAACTCCGTTCTTAAAACGGTATCATGAGAGCCTTTGTCCAAGATGCAGTCCTCTAATGCCCTACTGGATTTCAGAATGTGAAGTGTTTCTCAATTTGGCTGATTACACAGCTGAATATAATTTAAATTACAACTTTCAGATCTCATAAACCAGTAAATATATGGATTCAGGGCATCTGCACTGTCCTTCAAATGCACCTTATTAAGACAAACAATTTCTGTCTTTTCACCTAATTCTTTTCTGCCATTATTCCATCTAACATTTTTGTTATAAGTCATGCTCTCCAATATGCTCTTTATAGAGTTTTACAAATGGTTTCACTATGCTAAGCCTTGAGTTCCCACATTCATCTGTACAGACTAGACTACCAAGGAACCAGATTTTAAAATTAAACTTCTTCAAACATCAAAGTACTTTAAGAGTAAAGGGTAAGGCTTATCCATTCTTTCTATTATCTGCTACATACAACGTTGTATTGCTCTACTGTTACTACTGCTGAATGCACTGAGCTGTTTAAACACAAGATGATCCTTCAGTCTGTAGGAATTCAGAGCGAAAATCCAAGCATGCCTCTACAGATAAACTCTCACACACTGTAACACTAATAGCAAACTAAGACAACACAGGAAAAACACATGCATGGACTTCAAC